GTCCTGAGCATGATGCATGTACTGCCTCCTTAATCTTTAAATTTCCCCATTTACCACAGACAGGTTAAATAACTGATCACACAACTAATACGTGCTGTAGTTGGAATTTAACCCAAGACAGTCTGACTTTGTGTTCTTAGCCACTGCTTGGCATAGTGACTGAGATGTGATGTCCTCTCTGATGCTGAGGGTATGAGTCCAAGGATCATTTTTGAAAATATTTGCTTTGGCATGATGCAGAATACAAAGTAAACAGGAGAAAAAAAGGGCTGGTACTCCAGAAAAGGTCTGTATATTTTAATAAAAGTATTAACAGTTTCAAGTGGGTTATCCTGGCATATAGTAGTAACAGGGTGGTGGATATACCACTGGGCTTCTAGTACTTCAGGAAACCAGTCATGCTAAATAGTATTTTTCTGGGAATTATTTGTGCCTAGTAGTCTGTCTCATAGATCTGGAATGTCCCAGAAAGATCACTATTCCAGATTACTTATTTATAACATAAATAGTTCATAAATAGCCAAGCATCCAGTGGATCACCACAGTAGTAATTAGTAACAGTTTTCTGTGGGCACTCCAGAAAGATTATTTGCAAACTGGCAGCACTCAAACTAAAATATGGAATGAAGCTCATGGCTATATTGTGTAAAGCTGTAGAGTGAGAAGGTAGTCACTTCAAATCATGTTTATTGGATATTCTTCATAGTAGTTGGCTGTAAAAGCAAGATTTTCTTAAAATACAGGAAATTGGCCAGTGGTTACCTCATACCAATTTTGGGAGTCAGTTTAAGTTTTGTTTATGATTTGTAGGCATAAGCAAGAAATGACTCAGGTCAAGTTAGTCTGGCAAAATAAGCTTTGCTTATATATATGATTAAACTGATTTTATTTGCTCAGGGAATTTTATGACTGGTCTCTGTTTTTTATTTTAACAGTGGCATTAATAAGTTATTCTTTAGAGGTAGCATCCTAAAGACCTTTTTCTATTTATATTATTTGTTTATATGATGTGTAATATCTTATAAGAATGTAACAAATAATCAGAAAAAAATTTTATTCTTCGTTAAGATAATTTAATGAGGGAAAGAATAGTTTTTTTCAACAAATGGAGCTGGAATACCTGGAATATTCACATGCAATGAAATTAATTTTTACTACTTCACACTGTCTCCAAAAATTAATTCAAAATTAATCACAGACCTAACGTAAGAATTAACACTGAGAAAGTCTTAGACTAAATTTTCATGATCTTGGGCTAGGCAGAGGCTTCTTAGGTACAAAACCAATGAAAGAAAAAAATAGAGAAATTGGACTTTATCAAGATTAAACTTTTGTGTTGCAAACAATGTCATCAAGTAAGCAAAAGACAGCACATGAAATGGGAGGAAAATACTCATCATACATATGATGAGATTCTCATATTCAGAATCTATCAAGAGCTCTTACAACTAACAGACCAAATTAAAAATCGACAAAGACACTCTTTCCAAGAAGACATAAAAATGGCAAGTATATCTCTTTAATCAATAGTATTGGGGAAAACTGGACAGCCACGCAGAAGAATGTGCTGGACCATTATCTTACATCATACACAAAGATTAATTCTAAATGGATTAAAGACTTGAATATAAGGCCTGAAACCAGCTCCTTGACACTGGCCGTAGAAGTGACTTTTTAGCTCTAATACCAAAAGCAATGGCAACAAAAGCAAAAAATCAAAAAGGCCTACATCAAGCTAAAAAGCTTCTGATAACAAAGGAAATGGAACTTTCATTTTTGATTATATTGATATTTTGATTATAATAAAAAAGTTACATTGAGTCGTCATGCAGATTTCTGGTACAGAGCCCCTATGAGAGCTGTTTGTTGTATATGTGAGAAAAATTGGACTCAGGAACCTGGAAGACTGCTGAATGGAAGAAATATTCACAAATCATAATTGAAAGAGGTTAATGTCTAAAAAACATAAGCAATTCATAGCAAAAACAATCTGAGTTTAAAATGGGGAGGGGATCTAGATAATCATCTTCCCAAAGATGTACAAATGACCAACAGGTTCTGAAAAGGTTTTCAATATCACTAATCAATAGGGAAATGCAAATCAGTACCATAACGAGATATCATCTCATACCTGTTATTGGCTATTATCTATTACCTACTAATGGCTATTATCAAGACAAAATAGCAAGTGTTGATGAGAATATAAAGACATGGAAACCCTTCCATATCCTTGTTGGGGATATAAATTGATTCAGTCATGATGAAAAACAGTATGTGTAATTATACCCTGTCATGTCTGTGTACACAATGATGAAATTGCCTATTTAAGTATTCCTCAGAATGTGTTGCTATTGATAAGCAACATATGACTGTATGTATACAATGAAATATTACTCAGTATCTTGCCATTTGTGACAACATGGGTGGAGTCAGTTTGAGGACATTGTTAAGTGAAATAAGATAGAGAACGACAAATATCTAATTTCACTTATATGTGGACTCTTAAAAAAAACAGTAAGCCCAGGCCCCTCTGTGATGGTACTGTAGGTTAAAGCACAGCACTTGCACAGCACTGTGGGGCTGTCCACAGCCACTGCAGCTCGAGTTTCCTCTCCAGCCCCCTACCCCAAGGTGACACACATTGCATAGCAGACTTCTGTCCCGCCCGCTGCTGAGCAGCTTATTTCAGTAACCTGCCTGTTCTGCTCCCCACTGTTTCTGATGAATCCTGTTACCCCCAGCACTCTAGCCTGTACCCCAGTTCTTGTGTGCATAAATTTTTAAAAAATCTTAAAAAAAAATGTATACAGAAAATTGACCAGTTATTACCAGAAGCAGGGTATAGCAGGGAATGGGCAGACTGAAGGTATTTGAAAAGTATAAACTTTCAATTATAATGTAAATGTCAAGAAGACATAATGGACATGGAAATTATAGTTAATAATACTGTCTTGCATATTGTTAAGATAATAAATCTTAAAAGTTATCAGAAAAGTTTACAACTACATATGGTAAGTCTAGATGTTAACTAGACTTATTATAAAGATCATGTCCCAATATATACAAATAATGCATAGTTATATGTCAATTATACCTCAATAAAATAAAAAAAGCTAATACACATGTAAAAAGAAATTTCACATCATTAGCCATAAGAAATCCAAATGGAAAACCACAATGAGTATTACTTCATACCCACTAGGATGGCTATTTAAAAAGACATCTTCCATCTGTTTTTTTCTATATATACCTAAATATATAATCACTTTTGTTACATTGTCTTTTATTTACTGTGTTAACATATGCACAAATATGTCAGAAAAATACTTGAACACTGTCAAGAAATATGTATTTCTATATATATAACTTGCTATAAATTTACTTTACCTTTTGTTTTTTAAGATTTATTTATTTATGCACACAGAACTGGGGTACAGACTAGAGGTGCAGGGGTGGTGAGAGGATTCACCAGAGACAGTGGGGAACAGAACAGGCAGATCAATGAAGTACACGGCTGGCTGACGGGTAGGTCAGGAGAGGTCTGCTGTGCCATGTGAATCACCTCTGGGGCAGGTGGGGATCGAGCTCATGTGGAAGTGGCTTTAGCTTCTTAGTGCAGTGCTTTAACCTGCTGTGCCACCAGGGAGGGCCCTTCTTTATCTTTTTAATAATTAATTTATGATCAGAAGGCTTAGTTTCTATATAAGAAATATAATCAACTGACTGTGACTAATATACAGAATTCAGGAGACACAGTATGTTTCAGGAAAAATGAACATTTAGGGTTTTTTTTTAATTTTACAATTCAGAAGAGTTTAATCACAAATATGAATGTAAATGAGGAAATATTAGCATATAGGGAAAACAGAAATTTCTAATGCTGATGATGTTAAATTTTTCTATTGTGAGATTTGATTAGTAAGAGAAAGGCCAGAGCCCACACACAATGAAATAATCCAAACATTGAAAAAAGTGCATTTTCTTTAGATAATTGTATTTTTAGTATACACTTCCTAAGGGAAAATGTAGTTTTAATGGCTTAAATTATTTCACAAATAATGTCATTTATAGATGGTTTATAATTAACAAATCAGCTGGGTTCTATATAGCATGACAATATGAATAAAATTGAGAAGTTATGTTCTTGAAGTCACTACATCTCAATACCATTTCAGCTTATTTAGAACACAAGCCAAACATGTTGGCCTATTTCTGGGTTTCCTTTGTAGATCTGTTGTCTGTTATACCTGACGGGCTTCAGCATATACCATACAGGAGAGTAGGAAAGTGCTAGCCTAGAAAATCAAGATTATGTTTCATTCCTAGTTTGGCTCCCATTTAGGCAAGACAGCCTTGCTAGCCCTTCATTTCATCAATAAATACAATAAATAGGTTGGACACAATGTTATCTAAGGTCTTTTCAAGCATTATGATTCTAAGGTAACTTTGCAGGTTCTTTTCAGATGACAGACACTTGTTCACATGAAGTGTAAACTACCTCTTTATATTAAAGCACTTCTGATGCATTTATTATCAGAAACTAACCACACATGAAACTTGAATTATTAAAATATTTTATTCCATATTTTCAAGCTAGAAATAGTAATTCAGAACTCAGCTATAACTTCCTAATTTTTTAATCAAAATAAGATGACCAAAATAATAAAATTTAGCATTTACACCATTAAACTTACAAAAGTATATATTAACTAATAGAATGTTGATTTCAAAAGAATACTTGAGAAACAGAATTCTTAGGAAGCATTCCATAACTGTGCACTCAGAATTTGTTAACATAATGTTATAAGCTGGAGACGAAGTCCAGCCTAAATATCAAAATGATTCTATATTTCCTAAAGATACATTTTGAGGAAGAAAGAGAATCTAAACCTTACCCATTTCCCTATTCCCCAGTCGCAAAGGGAAGAATTGTAAAGTATGTACATATTTAGTAGTACTTTTATAAGAGAATAAATGCCCAGATATAAGCACAATTTAACTTAACATTTCCTCTTCAATTTGCTTTTTATAGCAGACATGTTAATTTCATTTTGAACATGGTATGCCAGATATCCTGAGCTTCCAGGAATGAAGTCATGTATTTCCCCAACAAATTTCTTCAAGGCATCAATTGATAAATAACCTACAAAATAAAAAACATGTGTATTTGAAATCTTATCATATTATCTACCACATTACTATTTTTGATTTATTAAAGTTGAGTTCTAAAGAATATTTTTAGAAAAGAAGTAAAAGTAAGACATAGTACCAGAGAGAACATTCTCCATAAACCTGATCATGGTGAGGGAACTCGCTCCTTCTCCCTTCCTCTCATCTCTCCAGCTTCTACCACCTTTTAAAACCCAGATTGTTGTTGTTGTTGTATGTGTGTAATTACAAAATAATGATTTCCTCTTGGAAAAGTATTACTGAGGAAACAAATAGGAAAAATCCACTTTTTATTTTATGTCTTTTTGTGTGAAGGTGTATAATTAAAATGTATTACTTTTGTGAGGCAGATGTATCCCTGAAAAATAAAGTTGCCCTCAGCTCTACGCCTATACTCACATTATACTGCCCCAAAGTCCTATTAGCATGGATTTAGTGGACAGCCCATCTCTGCCTGTGCAAATGCACCCCCCCCAAATCTTAAAGCACCAACAAATTTGATATCTGATTTACTATCAAAAGCCTTTGAGACAACTCAACCTTATAGTTGACTTCATATTTTTTAGTTTTATATATTTTTTATATCACTCTTCATTTTCATACAATGTATGCTTTATCCTCTCATAAAACGTGGATTTTTTTTAAAGCAACATTTTAAAAAATATTTATTTATGTATACAAGAACCAGGGTTACAGGCCAGAGGTGTGAGAAGCTGAGAGGATTCACCAGAGACAGAGTGGAGAGCAGAACCAGCAGATCCACTGAAATACACCGCTGAGGGGAGCAGCAGGCAGGTCAGGAGAGGTCTGTGCACCATGTGGGTCAGCAGACTGGCTGGGAACTCATGCTGCAGTGGCTGTAGCTCCCTTCACAGTGCGGCACTTAAACCCATTGAGCCACCAGTGAGGGCCAAAAACACAGATTCCTGATTAGCCACTTTGACTATTGAGAAAATGATGTCCAGGGTGGGCTTGGAATGTAAAGTAGTTAGGTCTAAATAACTGGACAGTGTTTCTGGCTTCGAGTGTACTGGGAATAATCTATTCACTACCTACTACTAAAAGCACAAATAATTCATTCTCCCTAGGAGAACACTGTCCTGCATTATTAAACTGAGATATCATTCTTTAACAAAAAATCAATGGGAATGTCAGTATTTCTGGTTAGTCAACAAAGGTTATGGGTGTGAGTAACATTAAAAATTTATTGTTCTTCAATCTAAATATACGTGAACATTAATACTTAGAATACAGAAAACTAAAGAACTAATGGCTTTAAACAATATTAAACAGATGGCAATTGTTTATTATCTGAGTGATTATATTTTATGTATAATATAGATGTTTGTGGTCTACATTAAAATTGAAACCCAATTTAAAAGTAAATACCATTGGAGAAAAATTCTGGTAGAGCTAAAGGATTATTGAATTTAGAATACCACCACCGTCAACAAGATATTAACATATAGTTTGACTGTTTCTGATAATAAATAAATTCACAGTTAATAAACTGAATCCAATCATATAAAACTAAATAATATCTTTAATATTTTAGTCATAGTCATTTACTTCAGAAAATCTCTTGAAGTACTTACAGTATTCCATATGGTTCATGATCTTTGACTATGGCTAGTATTAGGGTAAAGTAAACTAGTACAGAAAAATATTAATTAATTACATATATACACTATCTGGAGATTTTAAAGCTCAGAATAAAAAATGAATTGTTACATTAATAAAAATATCCCTTTATGAATAAGGAGGCTGTTTATTGCATCAAAAGTAGATTGGGGTAGCAGTTAGAACTTCACAGTTAAGTTGTCAGATGCCATATTTAAACTATCTTAAACCAAAGGGGAATTTACTGAAAGGACATTGTCATATCAGCCAAGCTGTGAGGAAGGCAAATATATTGTTGGGTCTCAAAGTAAGAAAATCAACTTTCATGGACAACTCACAGGTTACAAGTTTTTCTCTGCATTTGGCATTTGGTTTATTTTTCTTTTCTTGAGACAAATTGACTTTCTTGACATGATATAAAATATGTACATTATAGTGCCCAAGTTTTATAATTTAGAGATATGGCCACCTGAATACGAATGACTTGCCTTGCTGTATTTTGTGTCTAAACATCCAGAGAAAGAGCAGTGATTAGCCCAGCTCAAAAAAGGTATTCACTCTGGAAGTAACTACTGGGGGTGAGGGGCAAGCTCATGTTTTAGTAAATGACTCCCACATGGTCCTAAAAGACCCCTATCCCCTGGTATTCCTGAATTTGTGTAGTCCCCTCTCACTTTGTATGTGGGCTTATCTACATGACAAGCAACACATAGCAGAGGGATGGTATTTCACTTCTGAGAGTAGAATATAAAGAAGACCAGGCAAGCCTTTGCTCTCTCTTGTATTTCTTACTCTGGGGGGCAAGCTACCAACATGTGGACACCCCTGTGGAAAGGATGATGATTTGATGCCTTTGGCCAAATAGAAGGAAGGACCCAAGCTTGCCAACAAGCATTCTGGTAAATTAAAAAAAAATTTTCAGACCCAGTGATGCTTTGAAATGCTGGTTTACAACTTGACTACAACATCGTGAGACACTTAAAAACAGAAGCACCCGGGCCCTCCCTGGTGCCGCAGTGGGTTAAAGCACAGCACTGAGAAGCTAAAGCCACTTCCGCGTGAGTTCGATCCCTGCCTGCCCCGGAGGTGACCACATGGCGTGGGCAGACCTCTCCTGACCCGTCCGCTGCTCCCATCATCAGTGTACTTCGTCGATCTGCCTGTTCTGCGCCCCATTCTGTCTCTGGTGAATCCTCTCACCACCCCTGAGCCTCTGGCCTGTACCCTAGTTCTGTATGCACAAAAAAATAAAAATTATAAAAAAAAAAAAAAAAAACAGAAGCACCCAGCTAAGATGCTGTTGTATTCCTGGCCCTGAGAAACTATGAAATAATATATGTTCAGTGTTTTAAACTGCTAAGTTTAGGAGCCATTTGATACACAGAAATAGATAACCAGTATATTTTATAAGTTCCCAAACTTTAAATTATCAGAATTCTTTGGTTTGAAAATTTTGCCTACAAATATTACAATTCTTAATATTTTTCCCTTTTCTAATCCCATAGGTAGCCACCAATCAGAACTGTAATAATGGGCTAAAGGGAGTGATATCAGACTGAGGAGGGTTAATTCCAGTCTAAAGCAAAAAAAAAAAAAAACAAGTAAGTGAAAACAAAATACAACTCTCGTGATATTTTATGGACCATTTGACAATATCTGGAGGATATTTTTGTATGTATGTATGTATTTGTTTTATTTATTTACTTATTTGGGGAGAGGATAGTTTTGCTTGTCACAATTTAAGGTGAAGGTGAGAAATGGGATGCTACTGGCATCTAGTGGGCCCAAGTCAGGATTGCAGCTGAACAGCAATGCACTGGACTGCCCTCTCTCCAACAAAAATCTATCTGACCTAACATGCCCATAGTTCTAAGACTGAGAAACCCTGTTCTATTGCCTAGCTCAAACTGGTATATTCTACAACCAAGCACCTGTTTTCAGAGATTTAACAGTCATTGAATTGAACTCAACATATTTTCAGGGAAACAGTCAAGTAATAGTTATTAAAATTGATACCCTTCTACAAATCATAAGTCTCTCATTACATTTTAAAATAACACAGCTGATTTTTTCCCCAATAAGTTACTCCTTTCTGTACAAGCAGACAGACATGTTCAAAAAAGGGAAGCATCTATCACATCAAAATTAAAGACAAATGATTTATCTCTAAAAATGAAATTTTCATCCAAGAAATTTATTTAAAATTTAATGCAGAAATATAAAGAAAACAAGTATTTTTTGAATAAAGAGAATATTAAATGTATACAAATTATTTTAGCTAACTTAAAATATATATTTACTTAAAATTGATGTATTAATATTTTAAATTTTCTATTTTTTAAATTGTCAGTGCCCTTATTATATACTATCCAGATAAAATATCCAGATATTTACCTCATTTAATACTACCCAAATCCAGTATCTATTTCACAACTGGTTACCTTGGTTTTACACTCTCAATGTCAGCCTCAGTTAGCTGTCTTCTTTCTGTGTAAAGTGTTAGGGTAGGAAACCCATATATGGAGTCCATGAATATCTGAGTAGTCCATGAATGGAATTTTGTCCATGTGTGAGCCATTTTAGTTTCTATGTCCGTTTGTATGTTTATGTCTATGTAGTGAAAGAATCCTATTTTTTCCTAAGATTTTAAAAGGAAACTATGATTGCAGTTGTCCATATAATATCTTCCAAATTAGGAAACAGAGTAAAATTGATGCCAAGACAACACACATAAACCATCATTTTAACACAGAACATACCTTTGGACTAACTTTTGCAGTCTAATTTATTTAATGTGTGAATTATTTATCCTATATTAACACATATATAATATTTGCTAGATGTTTGAAGTATAACACTCTTGTTTTTTCCCTACCTGGGTTTATATATTCTGTATTATATTTTAAATTACCTGTTACCATGTTGTTCACTGGATAATTCTGAAGAGGGAAGTACATTTGCTTTTCTACAACTGGAGTCCTTTCAAAATGTTCTTCTGTGCTATAAAATCGAAGATGCAAAAAGTCAGATTTATATTTTTATAGACTTCCTTTACAAATGAGAAATTGGCAATATATATGTAGTAATCTAGCTGCTTTTTGCGCCACCAGGGCCCTGTATTTTTCATTTTAACAAATTATATGAATTACATTTAAAATAATACAATAATTGAAAAAACAAGAAAAACAAAAAATAAAAATGCTTGCAATTTTCAGGACAATTTGAAGTCTGTGGGGAAGGGAAAACAACATAATGTTTAAGAATTTGGATTCTAGATCAGCTAGACTTGGTTTTGAATTCAGTTTTATTATTGAATAATATTGTGTGGATTATGTAGTTCTCTGAATCTGTTTCCTCAATTGTGACATGAAGCTAATAGTATTTATTTCAAGGTTGTGATAATAAAATTAAATATTGTAAGTTGGCTAGCTCACAAGTGTCTTGTATTTAGTAAGTGTTCTGTAGCAGTTCATCACATAGCAAGTGTTCATTATCATTAATATTATTACCAACAAAATAACTGCTTCACAAGCAAGTGCAAATGTATTTCATCTGTTGAAATAGATGCACCCTCTAGTGGTTCCACAAAGAAAAGGCTCTACTTACACAACTACCTGAGGTGTCTATTCATATCCTTTATTTATTTATTTATTTTTTAAGATTTTATTTTATTTGTGCATACAGAACTGGGATACAGGCCAGAGATGTGGAGGGTGAGAGAATTCACCAGAGACAG